AACAAATTTTAATAATGTATTGGATAAATAATCAAAAGTGTAATCAATAAAGCAACAAATAATAAAGCCTCATACAGAAGAAGATAAACTTTGCAATGAAATATTGAAGCATGGACAAGTTACTAAATAACCAACTACATTTTCTTTTTCGTAGGAACCGAGTTGACTGTTGTCAGAAGTTTAAACAATTTGTTGCGGTACTGCGCTCAAATGGAATAATTAAAAAAGCCAAACTTGAAAAAAATACAAAAAAGAATTATTTCAACTAACAGGGAAAATTGGTTTTAAACAAAATATAGAAAAATACATCTCGCAGGCCATCTCTCTATTTTAGAGTATAGTTGAGAAATAGGGATCATGAGAGTGCCTACAAAACAGATGTAGAAGCGGTGCATCTCAACTATTATGGATTCCTTCAAAGGATGTTTAAAAATGCACACATAATGTGTGTCAGTGGGGAGTTTCACTAGTAGGTGTGTTTATTAACGCCACATGGAACAATGCAGTGAAATCACAACTAACAACCACCAACCAAGCTCACATTCTAAAAACTATTACAACTTTTACAGGTGCACAGATAAGACAGGTAAATAATCCAGAGAAAAAGCTATATAATGGAAAACAGTATAACTGATGACGTCATAATAATAACATATTTAGACAGATAGCAGGAATAAATTAAAATCTACAGAAATTAAACTGAAAACATCTTACCATACTAGAAAACATTGAATTACGTGAGGTTTCAATTAAGGCAAACATTTTTCGAAATTGAAACACGCCTGGCAGTTCACATAACCCAAAACTCCAGCTGAAAACAAGATTATGAATTATATGATAAAGGGGAAGATGAATTTCACTTCATTATATTGTGTACCATTTATAAATAGCTAAAGACATAAGCTTCAAAAAGCCAGAGATGGCCCTGGCATTATTAATCATGGCGCGAAAAACTATTTGTTATTTGAAATGACATAATTACTGAAAAAGCTAAGTTTATTAAATGCCATAGCTTTTCTACAAGGCAGAAACATCAAATCATTATATAGAGAGAGCGAGTTACATTTAATAAGAAAATTATTATGTTTCTTTTTTGTTTGTTTGTTTGTTTGTTTGTTTATTTTTACCTTACTACTGATCTCCCGGAGGTGCTGTGTCTCGGAATGCCCCTAAAGCGGAAATACGTCATAGCATAGACCCGAGAGAAGACGATGGTAATAGGCTCTGAAAAGAAAGCCCCACCAAACAACCTCTAAATATTTTGTTAGATGTACCTATCGTGAATCAAATTATATGGAATAACAACAATCTTTTGATTGCTAATAAAACAATTATTACAAAGAATTTGATGATGTTGGGCAACTTTTCAATAACAGGGTTTTTATTTTAGATTGGAATGAAATGATGGACAAACTGATCCAAAGCACACGTTTTTGAAATTGTACGATATGGTTAAAGAGAGGTGTGGAAAAAAATGTTTTGATATTTTGGGACAGAAACAGGGTGAAATTTGTTGATTTACATATCACCATTGTATGATTGCCTTGACATGGCATCCAGTTGGGAAAGGGAAGGTGGGTAGGATTAAAACAACATATAGGAGAACAGTGGGAAAGGAGAGAAAGTTGGGTGGATGGAAAACTTGGAATGAGGTCAGGGGAAGTGCACACGACATACAGACAAGCGTTATTGCTTTATGTGCCAAGAGGCACGAAGAGGATAAATTCATTTACATATTCACTTACAACAAAACAAGTTGTTAAGGATATTGTTTCACAAAGTTTTATTTCCCCACGCTTCAAGGAGGTCATCATTCTCCGTCGCAGAGACTATAGGTCTTTTATCACTAAACTAGGTAGTCGCCAGGGAACGTCCCACGAGTTGCGGCTCTCTATGGCTCCCTAGATCAAGAAGACTCTGCAAGGGAGAGTGGGAGGTCATTTCCGAATTGCTGAGACTATCTACAAACTACCATTCAAAATAACAATAGACATTAAATTGAGAAACTTTCAATGGAAAATGACATACAGTATGTAAAACTAAATTCAATTTTGCCCCAGATTTACTCATCTAAAATGTGTACATTGTGTAAAGGGTAGCGAAAACTACTATTCACATTCGTTGTCCTCTTGTTCAGTTGTTTTGTGAGAAATTATCTGAGCGATGGGGAAAACATAAGGGTTGAGAAATACTTTATCTGATGAAACAATTCTGTTGGGAGACCCACATGAGTCATTGTTGCTTTTTATTTTTATTTTTAGTAGTTAAGCCTTTCATTTATATCTGCAAATGTATTGGGGAAAAAATCCATGTTTCCAGCATTTTAAACCTTTTGTTCAAAATATTCAAAAGACTGAATATGTTATTGATAACAAAAATGGTAAATTAAATAAATAGGGCAAATTTCTTACTATATAAAAAGTATTTCATATGATTGTTAAGTAAATTGAAATGTATGTTTTAAGAGACTAGACTCAATACAAATATCTTTAAATATCGTTAACGTTTTCACCACCAGTTCCCTCTTTTTATCACAAATTCACAAAATAGTCATGTTTATAGTCTGCACTTTCCTTCAGAAGATTGGGACAAAAATAGTGTTGGCTCTAAAATTAGGGTTCATTTCCAGAAAGTCTGGAAAATATATGAAAAAATTGCAGACAAATTTGGCGGGAAAGTTTGGTGGTGAAAAGGTTAAATAAAAAAATTCAGTAACTGTTAATTTAACATTACGTTATAGTTTGTGGTTTCTAAAATATTTTTGTAACGCGAAGCTTTCGTAACTCAGTGTCCGTACCCGAACAATTTAACATCTCATTGTTTTTAGGATACAATATGGCGTTGGTTTTAATAGTTGAGTAAGATGTAAAGGTAAATATTTCACGAT